ATTGTTAGCAATGTTGGAGCGAGAGTTGGGATGATACATTCTCTCAACTTGTCTTTAGTTTGGACAAACTGTGTCTAGTTAACTTCGTGGCCTTGATCATGTGCTTGATCAATCAAGCCCTTTGATTTTCTGATGACGGGTATTTTGGTCCTCCCTCTATGGTCTTGCCTGTCTCCTAATCTATTGGACTTCTTCAAGATTTGTGTTGACACGTTTGATGTATGAATAAATATAAAATTATTTTACAATTCATTAATTATAAAAGAAAGAGTTTGGGTATTATGGGGATAGTTTTTGACAGGATGAGTGAACGGAAACTTCATTATAAATTGCCTTAGTGATTGTTAAGTGTGTTTTAAAATAAAAATATAAATTTTTATATGGATATATGATTACCATTAAGAATTTTAAACGAAGGTTGGTGAGGTGAGTTGGTGGGAGTGGGAGGAAGGTGGCCGGCTACTCATCATGCACTAAGGTTTGTGGGCCATAATTCGAATATTTCCACTTGTTTGATATATTCATTGTTTAATTTCCTGGCCATTAATAATAAATTATGCACCATAATTTCACACGAGGCGAATAATATGTTGCACACACGAGCTTATAAGGAAGTAAACTGTGATACTCGAACATTTCTAGAAAATGTGCAGTGTCACATATAAGTCTCAAATACGGACATGCTTTCGATATGTGTTGGACATGTCATCGAAGTGTCTGGTTTAAATAATATTTTTAAACAAAAAAAGACAGACACATGTGTCCTTCAAAAAATATTTTTAAGAATAGTGTATATATATTAAAAGGAATGGGCAGAGGCTTATATACGAGCCTTCAACCACTTTTAATGTGTCTAACAATTCGAGTACCACCTCCTTAAGCATTCTCTCAACTTGTCTTTAGTTTGGACAAACTGCGTCTAGTTAACTTCATGGCCTGATCCTGTGATTGATCAATCAAGCCCTTTGATTTTCTGATGACGGGTATTTTGGTCCTCCCTCTGTGGCCTTGCCTGTCTCCTAATCTATTGGACTTCTTCAAGATTTGTGTTGACACGTTTGATGTATGAATAAATATAAAATTATTTTACAATTCATTAATTATAAAAGAAAGAGTTTGGGTATTATGGGGATAGTTTTTGACAGGATGAGTGAACGGAAACTTCATTATAAATTGCCTTAGTGATTGTTAAGTGTGTTTTAAAATAAAAATATAAATTTTTATATGGATATATGATTACCATTAAGAATTTTAAACGAAGGTTGGTGAGGTGAGTTGGTGGGAGTGAATTCGAATATTTCCACTTGTTTGATATATTCATTGTTTAATTTCCTGGCCATTAATAATAAATTATGCACCATAATTTCACACGAGGCGAATAATATGTTGCACACACGAGCTTATAAGGAAGTAAACTGTGATACTCGAACACACGAGCTTATAAGGAAGTAAACTGTGATACTCGAACACACGAGCTTATAAGGAAGTAAACTGTGATACTCGAACATTTCTAGAAAATGTGCAGTGTCACATATAAGTCTCAACTACGGACATGCTTTCGATATGTGTTGGACATGTCATCGAAGTGTCTGGTTTAAATAATATTTTTAAACAAAAAAAGACAGACACATGTGTCCTTCAAAAAATATTTTTAAGAATAGTGTATATATATTAAAAGGAATGGGCAGAGGCTGATATACGAGCCTTCAACCACTTTTAATGTGTCTAGCAATTCGTGTACCACCTCCTTAAGGCCAACTGTGCCAGAGGGGACAAATCGCACAGAAGTCCCCATTCCATAAAAAATCTTGAAGGTTAGTGACACAAATCCCTTGGGGTAAGGCACAACATCAAACTCCTTAGGGTAAAGTCTAACCTTTGGAATGTATGTGCCTCCTTTTGACTAGGCCAGGGCTTTCTTCACTTGTTGCTCGACCATCTGTTTTATATCCTTTTGTGGTACTATATTCTACGTTTTATACTTCTTGGGCTATTCATTCTTGTTGGCGTTGGTGAACTCTTTCTTCTTATCTGCAACGTGAATGGCTTTTGGCTAATTTTCTTCCGGGGAAGCAATCTTCAATGACTGGGGTTGACTTTAAAGGGTGGCCACAACAGTCATCATCTCCTCCAGCTTCTTCTCCATTTGAGTGATATGCTCATCTCGTAGTTGGATGACCCTTTGTAACTCATAAATGGTGTTCTCCTCGGTGGGTTGTGAAGCCTTGCGCAATGACAAAGAGGCTCGGGTCTCAACTACAAGAATCTCTGCATATTACTCCTCAATAAAATTAAACAAGTTGAAATATCCATCGTCATCATCGTTTTGTTGTTCCTTTGATAGTTTTGAAGTATCAAGCCTGAGTTTCTTCAAAGTGTCTTCAATTGAATCTTCTCTAATTTTCTCGAGATCAACAGATGGTCTCTAACGAACATTTATACTTGCATCTAATTCTGGCACGACAGTCAGTGTTTCTGACCCAGTCTGATCGGCTACTCTAGGTCTCCATCTCTTCCCCTTTAGTATTGTTGTTAGGAGACGGGGTGTCTCATTGAGGGCATCAATGTGGTGAAGGGAAGGGTGTCCCCTAGTGTGTGAGTCGGATACCGTGGCAACTGATCTCTTGGCCTCCTTCATCTTCGAGGGCTCTCCATGTGTAATGGCAGATGATAACCTCGATCCTAATCCTGACTTAACAGACCTTTCGTTTGAGATGTTGACACTAGCGACGACAGCGGCAGTGGCATTGGTGACTACTCGCTCTCCTTGACGGAGCTTTGCAGAGATACAAGATTGTGGCACCTTCCTGTGACTATGGAGGTGTATCAAACTTGTCCTTCTTCAAGATTTCTTCTTTCATTCTAGGAGTTATGGCACATCCCATCCTCTTTATCAATTCATTGACATAACAATTTTTCTTCCAAGCCAATCTCTCTAAAACTGAGCAAATTTGGGTGAGAGGGGTAGACTTCTCTTTCCTTTCTCCCCGTCCATTATGGAGAGACGGTGGTGGTAGCATGGTTGCAATCTGTTAAATGGCTTCCTCTCTGGCAATGGCAGATAAGGATGCAATCTGCTCCCCTCCAGGTGAGGTGGGGTCCATTTACTCTATCTCCTCTGACAGAGGAGTATTTTCTATTAAGACTGACTTGGCGGCCTGTGCCCTCTAAGCCTTCAATCACCTTCTCTTTTGATTCTTCCTCTGAGATCATGTTGGTGGCACGGACTTAGAACATGACCTAATCTCAAACACGGAATGGGGTGGGGCAAAGAAATCCATCTGGTCGCTCTCGTACAAACTTTATTTTTCTTTCACTGACGAAGTAGCCGACATAGAGACAGTAAATCTGGTGGGTGAAGCTGTAAAAGTCTTAGCGACATTAGGCACGACTCTAGAGGTAACGAGAGCAGTGGTTGAAATGGGTGACCTTCACCTTCTTGAGGGAAGGGAAGTCTAGGGCACAATGCGGGTTGAACTCGGAAGACGAGTCTTGAACCTCAAGGGCAACTATCTTCTCTATCACATATGGTGCCTTTCCAAGTAGCACCTCAAACTCATCAAAACCGGGCCCAAACTGGATCGTTTACGCCATGTGGCGGGAATGTTGATCAGTAAACGTGTTGAACAGGAAAGTCAGACTCGGTGACAACTATCTTCTTGCTAGTTGAAAACTTTTGAACGTCAGCAAAATCTCATGTTTTATCTTCAGGCGTCGTAAGTAATAAAATTGACGAACTTGTCTTAATGTTATTATATTTTAGCGTCGTAATTTGATAATTTTTCTTTTACTTAGAATTCTTTTAAGAGGAGTTAATATGATAATAATTTTTAATTCAATTTGTTATGAACAAGTCGAAACCAAAGAAGAATAAAGCGTAGGACCCGATCCAAGATTTGAAGAGGGATTAGCTTCAAACCGAACTCGCTTCGATAAATCGCTCCTAATATACTACTTATTGGGAATCCGACCCACACTAAACATTTAAAGATTCTAGAACCTTCCTCTTTAAAGGTGATTTAACAAAATGTTCTAGAATCCAAAAGGAGTTGACTTTACTTGCTCAAATAAGAAATGAGCGAAGTAAGCAAACAGAAGAATGGTAGTATGACCCATGAGAGGCATGGAGGCATGGACATACTTCCAATGTATGAAAAAAACACCTCCTTATCAAAATGGAGAGAAGAACTAAACTCAAGTGCAGTCGCTAGAAATTGTCGGTCGCCTTTAGTTTAATCTTAAAAATAATGTTCAATTTAATATAAATATAATTTTGATTTTTTGAAAAAAAAATTTTGATTTTGAAAATGAGACCAAAAACATCTCACACATTTAATAGTTTAAATAACCAA